ATAAAAAATACGATATAAGGTCTGTATGCAGATTATAATAATACCTAACCGGAAACTTTAAAGAAATTTCCTGTTTATGGAGAAAAAAGCGGTAACCGAGCAGAAAAGCCCAAAAAATATGCACGTACAAATCAGCGAAACATCCTTCAAAAAGAAATAATAATAAAAAGCGTATCTTTATTTACTCATTTTCTTCTTCATTTTATGCAAAAAAAATAATCAATATGTCTTTTATGTTTCTCCAGATTAATTTTAAATTATATCCAGCTTCATTTTTTTAATCGTTTTTCTTTTCCACAATAGTTCACCTTTCCATAATTTGGCACAAAAAACACCTTTTTCTTTATTAAGTAAAAATAAGCTTCGTTTTCCCGTGTTCTTTCTTTTTATTCTTTGTTTCTTCTTTTACCCGCTGCTTTCTTTTTATTCAAAGTTGTTTAGTATTTAATACCCAAATGCGGCAGCAGTGAGGCGCCCGCAAAAAAAGGGTGGGCTGTAAACCCCTCGTAAAACCTACTTTTTTTCTTGTTCATATGGCTCGACAGTCCGCGGCGAAGCACATATAAGGGAGAAATAATGTTTTGGCCCTAATAACATTCAGAGCGTTTGTTTTTTCTTTAATGGGCTCTTTTTGAGTTTTATGAACGTGAGTGGAAGGGTTAACAAGCCTCTACGCATGTTTTTTTGTGTTTCACTCACGGAATTGATTTTGCATGATCATTGGCCCAATTTTTTTGCGAGTTCCTTAGCGATGCAGTTGGAATTTTTTGCTTCACACGGGTTTTCTTTCTTTTTAAATGTGCAGTTGCCATTATAGAGGGCTTGATGGAATTTTTTAAATTTTATTCTATTTCTGTTAATCTTGATCAGGGATGTTTTAGTTAATATTATTTTTGCTGTGTTTTTTGCGAAGACACCAAATTCCTTTTTTTTTTTGTAAATATTTTATTTTTTCCTTTATTTTGCATGCAACGGCTTCCGTTTCCACTTCGTAAGGAGTAATTACGTGAACACAACTCGCGTTACAAGGAGGGATACTAATAAAAGAGAGCAACGACAGGCAACTTATAGCAGAATTAAAGGGGAAGGCAAGAAAAAACAACAACAACGAAGCAAACACAACAGATAGAGACCTTCGAAAGGCAGAGGAAATACAGGAGAACTTAAGGCATTCATTTACTTTTCTTTTGCGGAAAACAAAAATATATACATTTGTATATAAATTTCATATCACTAGAAAAGCAAAAAAAAAAAAAAAAAAAAAAAAAAAAAGGAAAGTTTAAAAAGCAGAGAAAAAGACACAGCTGAGAATGCCCAAGGCCAACAAGCATGCGGAGGTCAAGCCATCCAAGTACCGAACAGCCCTCTGCGAGTTTTACCTCCGTCAGGAGGAATGTCCCTTTGGCACTCGATGCGCCTTTGCCCACGGTGAACATGAACTTCAAACAGAAGAGCGCAATGTAGAACTACTTAAGGCCACCGGTCTGCAGCGACTAGACGCGGCCATTTTCCCCACCCCGACAAGGTGC